ATACTTGACAAATGGCCTTGAGTTCATCAATAAACTCCTGGGAAACTTCCTTGTGAGATCCCTTCACTTCATATTCTGTGCTTCCTTTCCCACCAATGCTTACACCCCTAAAAAACATAATCAAGAAAAGAAACCACAGTCATAATCAACACAATAACTACCATTTTCACTTTGCAACATAATACGTCACATTAATACCCTTAACCGATGACCATAACATAAAACAAATGTTGCTCCTTACGGTACTGGACCAGTAACGTTGCAGGACTGTTCTAGTTACCTTAAACCATTTTTCAAGTACCAAATGAATTACCAAAACTGCCAATACTAAAACAATTAAAACATTTTATATTCTACAGAAATCTGTTGCCGGTCCAGCACCATTACAGTACCAAGGTTGTTCTAGTTACTTGAACGATTCTTAAATTCCCAGCAGTGCGGATACTAAAACACTAAAAACATTTCATATTTCCAGAAAACCGGTTGCTGGTCCAGTAACGTTACTGGAGCGATACTCTACATTATATACTCTACGGAAATCGGTTATTTGTCCAGTAACGTTAATGGAAGGATACACTGGATTTATTTCATAATTCTACGGTTATCGGTTATCGGTCCAGTACGGTTACTGGAAGGATACACTAGATTTTATATTCTACGGAAATCAGTTATTGGTCCAGCAACGTCACTGGAGCGATACTCGAAAAAGATAATTAAAAAAAAAACAAATTGAAGAGAGAGAAAGAGAGACCGATAATCGTAAGTGGACGAATCGCAGAGAGAAGGAGACGAAGATTGCGATTGAATATCCGAAACAGAGACGGCCAAAGGAATCAAATAGCTCGAGAACAATAGAAACGGCTGCTTAGTTCTTGAGCTACCTCCGCCGCTGCTTGTGTTACCGGTGTTGGATGTGAGAAGAGTTCGGACGTTTCTGGAAGCGCGAAGATTGGAGAAACTGAAGTACGAAGAAGACGAGCTGCGCAAGCGAGAGAACCAGACAGAGAACCCCATGGCGCTAGGATTTGATTATTTTCGGGAGTCTGCGGGTAAAGAAAAACAATAGTTAAAAGGAGCGGGTAATTTTGTTATTTTCGGAAAAACATTATTTGGATTTAATGATTTATTGTCCGATGATAGCTATTAATATGATTAAAAATAAGAACGCTTTTAATCATTTATTTTAAATAGCATCTTTCATATAAATAAAAAATATCTTTACTTATTTTTAAATATATAAAATAAAATTCTTTAAATTTTAGAAGCAAAAATATATTTTTTCAAGAAATAAACTTAATAAGAGAGATAAATTATAAATAAAATATATAAAAAGTTATAATTTATTATTTAAAATTATGATAAAGGCTGAAATTTAACTCTCTAAATGTGGAGAGTCAAACTCACTCTTTAATTCATATTTAAAGAATAAAGAGTCTTTTGAACTCTTGTTTCTATGAATAAACTCTTTATAAGAAAGAGTTTTGGTCATATAAAGAATCATTTATTTTGAAAAACATCTTTTATATAAATAAAAAATATCTTCATTAATTTTTAAATATAAAGAATATCATTTTTATTCAAATCCAATCACTCTTTAAATTTAATGAAGATGCTCTTTATTTTTAAGAAAGAGACTTAATAAGAGAAAAAATTAATAAATAAAATACATAGGAGCTTGTAGTTTATTAATTAAAATTGGGATTGGAAGTGAAATTTGACTCTCTAAATGTGGAGAGTCAAACTCACTCTCTAATTTATATTTTAAAGATAAGAGTCTGTTGGACTCTTGTTTTTATGGATAGACTATTTATAATAAATCATTTGGGTCATATAAAGAGTTATTTGGAGACACTCTTACTCTCTATCTTAATTTTAATTAATAAACTGTAAATTTTTATGTATTTTATTTATTAATTTTATCTTTTATTAAGTTTCTTTCTTGAAAATAAAAAGCATATTCATTAAATTTAAAGAATCCATTAGATTTGAATAAAAATTTCGTTCTTTATATTTAGAAATTGATAAAAATGCTATTTATTTAAAGGAAATATACTATTTAGGGGGCGTTTAGTTGGAGGTAATATAATATTACTATGGTTATGTCATCTTATATTACTTGATTACCATGTTTGGTTGTCAAGTAATATAAAATTCTGGTAATCTTGCATTATCAATAGTTGTTACTGTTGGTAATATTTGAGGTAATCAGATTACCTCCATTTTTTTAGGTATTTTAAGATTACTTTAGTAATCTTATTTTTTGTTACAATTCTATCCCTTATTAATAAAAATTTTGGACAATAATGCCCTTGTTTTAAAATAAATTTACATTAATATACCATTTTAATTTTACCCTTATTTAATTAAGTTTTTGGACAATAATGTCTTTATATTTAAAACAAATTACAGACCACCACAGCCACCCAACCACCACTGCCGACAGCAGGCCAACCACCACAAACCACCGCCAGAAAGTCGTAAGAGTCTCTAAAAATGACCGAGATTCGCTGGGAGGCTCCAAGAGGCTTCAATATGGTCGTTTTTGGCCATGTTGATGGTCGAAAAAGACCATATCAGACTAGATCTGACCTTTAACAGTTTCAGCCATCAATATGGTCAGAAACAGCCATATCGAAGCCTCGTAGTCACGGTGAACTACTCACGGCAACTTTTGGAGACTTCCGATGGTGGTTTGCTGTGGTGGCAAGGAGTGGGGGTGGTTTTACATAAATTAAAGTTTTATATAAGCGGAGTGTTTTAGCTAAATCTGAAATATTGAGGATTAAAAGAAATTATTCAAAAGTTAATAATAAAAATAATATTATATTAATATTTTAAAAGAGGGTAATTTAGTAATTTAAATAACATACTCACCAATTTATTCCTCTAACCAAACATATTAATATAACATACCCACCAACTAACCAAACACATTTTCCTAAAGATTTACAGTAATCTTCAAGGTAATATAAGATTTCAATAATCCAATATTCCTAATAATCTAATATTTTCTGAACCAAACACACCCTTAAAACAAAGAGTGTAGCCGGATATGCTTAGCATGGTTTAGGTTGAATTTGGGAACGGGAAGTTTGATAAATATAAACACGTGCCAGAAACTTGACCTAACTAAACTCTAGCAGGAAACAAGGGTTTGGTAAAGCATACTACACTGTGGTGAAACCCCTTTTCGGTGAATATTAAAATAAAAATATCATTTTAGTCCTGAACATAATAACTATCGCGTGTGATTATTCTAGGAAAAATCAATTGAGTCCATGCAGAAATACATTACATTATCAAACTTATCTTTTGTAATTAAATATGGGAGATTTCAAAAAACTACCCCTAACCTTTTGTTAATATTTACTGGTGGTATTTATGCAAGAAACTGTCAAAATATACACCTAAAACCTAACACCGACAAATTAAGTTTAACAGTTCAAGGGTATTTTGGGCAATTAATTAAAAATAGTATACTCTAAAAGAAGACATAAAATACATACAGCAAAATGTGAATGTAAGAGCCATAAAACACAATTCAGATGGGAAAGAACTAGAATGCAAACAGTATTACAAAAATCAGATTCTTGTACCTTCCAAAGTTCCTTTAGCTTCAGGCTCTTCCGCGAAAACAAAATTGAGCCATTGTGCTCAGAAACAATCTTTGAAAATTAATGTTTGCTCGCTGGAATATGCCTCTAACAATTGTAAAAAGAACATATTAAAAGTTAGGATAAGATAAGAATGCACACAGCTAATAAAACAAATCTTATAGTACATTGATGCATTCATTCATACACGCAATATAGGGGAAAGAGAGGAGAAAAAAAAAGGTAATATCATGAGGAGAAAAGAGGATGACTTACACAAACCGTCGTAGCAAATATTTTAGATTTATATTGTAATAATTTTGACCCAAATTCATCAATTTTACCAGTTAAATCAGTAGAGTGAAAAAATTAAATCTTCAGCAACCAAACCTAAAATCCAAAGTCATGGTATCCAACATGTTCAAATCCTGCAAAAACCGTTCTGGGCATCCTTTCATAGACCATACAAATTTTTATATTGTCAATCATCTATTAAGATTAATTTCCAAAATGAAAAGAAGCTTCTTTGTGGATTATTGGACACCTCTCACCAATTTGCATATTGTGGTTTCCAAATTAAAGGGAAGCCTTCTTTGTTTGTTACTGGACAACTCTCATCCCAGAAGTGCACCTCCAATTGCTGCTTAGCTGTTTGACTGTGATTACATCACTTTTCCTTTTCCTTTTCCTTTTGCAATTTAATTAACAAGTACTCTAAATAGTCACTCCATGAACAAGATTCCCCAGGGCTCCATAATTGAAGAGCAACCTCAAACCCACACTTATTGGAATAATATGTTCAGATAAAATTCAAAAAATCAAACGCTATAGCAAAACTCCTTTCTTTTTGCTTGGCAAACTAATTACTGACCAAGTAGGATTGACCCACAAACCTCTACTCAACCACGCTCCTATTTGTGTACATATTCTGATAAACTATAGCTTAAAATATTAAGGAAAAACAAAGTGCATTTACACATGAAATTAGTAACTGTGGTACAGATTAACTTTTTTAATCCTTCATTTTCCCCCAATTTGCATTAATCCACCATCACATTAGCCTAGGTCATGCTACGAATCAGATGTTGATTCCAAAGACAAGCCAGATTCCATCTGGAAAAATGAAAAGAAGCATCTGCCAATTTTTCCAGCTGTGCATATCGTAAAATAACAGATCCATTAAGATCTAAAGAAGGAGAAATAAGGTTTATAAAATTGGATAACCGCCCAAATTCAGATTAGCAAGAAATTTTGTTGGTCTTAGATCATGAAATATCAAATTCCTTCTAATTGTCTTACAGGTTGATCTGTGTACATGTAAACATGACCTTGGTTTACAAAATCCCAATGAAAAGTCACAATGAATGGGCGCATGATAGAATGTTTCTAAAATGGCACAATAATTGATTAACAAAATGAATATAGTGAAAGAGGTATCTCATCACCAGTGCCTATAAGTTCAAACATCAGAGTCGGAAGTTCAGGCAAATTCTTCCCATTAGCAATGTTGACAGCTTTAACCTGAACCTCATCCAGCAGCTCCACCCTTGACACCTGTAGAGTTTGTAAAAAACAAAAAAACTGAAGAGGGATTGAATAAGTGAACAAAGCTTGTAGATAAGGCCCCACCTGTATACCAGTCAACATAGTAGCAATAGCAACATCTGCTGCATCCTTAATTGTAGGAAAGTTACACATTGCAACCTACAACATCATCAAATTCAGTCAACAAAATTCATGTACATTCTAACTCTCCATTAAAATGGATAGCAAGAGAGTCGAGTAATCCATAAGGGAAAACTTCTCAAAATTCAAGGTCAGCAAACTCATGTTTAAGTGCAAAAAGAAACACTTATCACTTTATTGCAGCCTAAAGCTGTCTTTTTCCCCCTCTGTTTTTTCTAAGGGATTTGTTCTCTAAGGGATTTGCTGTTTACAATTCTTAGCACACTCCAAGGGTAAAGTGTTGCTTTGATTCATGAGGCAATCAAATCAGCCGAGATATGTCTGCTCATCTAGCAACAAATTAGATTTATAGAAGCATGAGGCAGGACCACAAGTTATGACAATAAGAAAATGCAATCAAAAACCTAATCTGTCTATCTAGATCTCCAGATGCTTTCATCCACAAGACTTGTTACAAATTTTCCCAAATCTTAAGTAAAGGCAACCATTCCAATTAAAAATAGTTGGAACTTGTTAACTTTCAATTTTTAAATGATAATCGAGAAAGAATAGAGAGAAAAAACAATGAAAATAAACGGCCTGCGATAAACATAATTGAAGGGCTTATGTTTTACATTGCATAAAAGCTAAATGCAAATATTATGTTTTGAGTTAGATATACTCAATAACAAAACTATAAATGCCAAATTCATTACTTCTATGAGGCATTTAATGGCACAAATTGCAGGAAATCAAAGAAACTTCCTTATTGAAGTTATATATTTTAAAGTTTCTTGTTATTACATGATTCCAGTTATCATGAGATGCAAACATTATTCTTCAATATTGAGGTGGTTCCAATTATCTGGGTACAACTTCTAACTTTTCACTGCATATGTTTTCCCATGTTCTATGTAATCTGATTATTGTTGTTATTGATGAGAAGAGTATGGATTTTAAGCACAAGCAAGCTCTATGCTTTCCTTTCAGAAAATTTATATAGCAAGCATCAGAAGAGCGTAGAAGATATGTTCTGACGTAAATTTAAAAATAATATATAACTAATCATGACAGTGCTACTAACAGCATGTACACAACATAATATCATTTCAATCTCAGTAAAATCCCATCTTGTCTAGAGAAAAATACTAGTTAGAAATTTGAATTGAACTAAAACAGAATTGCTTTCCAACAGAGAAAGGTCAAGTTACCACTGAATGTGAGGAATTTCTGAAGCCGTAGAGTAACTTCTGTTATTACACAGGGTTCCCTCACTTCCAATTATGAGACGGGTCAAATCATACCTAATATACGCAAGTCTTATAAGGTTCACAGCTGAACAAAAATAGGAAAGAGGAAAGGAAAAAGAAAAACGAATCTTCTAAGCACCATGAAACTAAAAAAATAAGATTTGTGACTCAAACTTATTGCTGATTGAGTAGATATTCCATGCATGGAAATGCAAATTGTGGACAGACTAAAGGATGGGAATCATGGCCAAGAAATCCTCTTTAAAACAAATATATCAGGAATTAAAATTTCAAAGGCCTAACTGACAAGGCGAAATTGAAAATAGAGAAAAACTAACATTGTTAAGAAACATTACAAAATTAAACCAAACACATTCAGTGATTACATGCATTGTAATACAAGTTGCAATGGCTCTAACTTAAGTAGAAATGCATTTCTCCCTTTACTTGCATTTCACTTGATAATTAAAGAAAATTTCTTGATTCCTCACAAATGTAAGAGGACCATAACAAACAAATACAATCAGAAGGCAAACTCAAGGAAGTCACAATGACCTTATGCGCATCATATATTTCAAAAACCCTTATAATTTCAAGCATTGAAGAAAAGACCATCATAGAGAATGTGCCCCTCTCAGCTATATTAGCTTACATAGCCTAGTTAAAAAAACATATATAAGACTCATAGACATAAATGCGAGTTAACACACTCGATTTACAACACAATCATAATTAAGAATTGTAGTGGATTAATGGATTTATGTATCAGGAGTAAAGGCAGGTAATGATAGCAAAACAATGGATGATCAATTGATATGTTAAACGGTCATTCAAGAAAGCTCAACCAATTATATCTGTCTAATGGTTGTTCCGTAATTTCAAGAAATAATGGTTGGAATCTCTTTGTTCTACTTTGTCTATTCCTTATTAATTAAAAATAATAATAATAATAACTAGATTGATGTAGATAAGTGAACAAACCCTGCAGCACTCTTTCGTGCACGAGAAGCTGTCTTGACAATATCTCCATTGGCAAGAACTACCTGAGGTGTACACATTATTAGAGATATATCACTTTATGGCTAAATAATACATGAGAAGGGAAACTGACAAACCCTGAGATTGATGACATTATCACGCATTGTTCCATACCTACATGCTAAAAGCAAAATCATTAAATCAAAAGGCAAACTGAACCTCAAAATAGACTCCAGAACTAGTTGTTGCTAAAGCATTTTGCTCTAGAGTTGAACTTCATAAAGACAAACCCTTGAATATATTCAAACTCTAGAAAATAAAGATATTCCTAATATTAAAACGCAAAACTTACACAGAGGTGCGAAAAGGTCTTTGGTTTTACTTACTATTTCTCGCCAAAATTTGAGATAAGTATTCCATTACTGGTCAAGTAACATTAATTTGTTACTACTATCTCTTTTTACTAGGAACGCAATCTCACATGTAAATACCCTTAGCAATCAATAAAAAGTCGAGCTAATGAAACAGTGCAACACCTGACTGCTAAAGAAACAGAGCAACGTGGTAGCACACATCCCCCAATGGTTGCACCAGGCCCTGATATCAAGATAATTTATGAATATGTTCACCTCAATTGCCAAAGTGACAACAGAAAAAAAAAAAAGACAGAGGTAGAGAGAGAGGCAGCTCTTGAAGCAGGAGACAAACTCAAGCAAAAACTGGCAACTCACACTACACTGTCCAGGGCATACACATTTGAAAAATTCTGACTTCATATAGAGTTTGAAATAATTTTAGCTGTGTCCCAAAATATCAATCAGGGCAGAGAATGATTGACCATTAATAACATTAAGAAGAGAACCATAGTAACCTGACCAGGATCAAGGGGAAAGAATAGACCATATGGCTCCAAGTATTCATTGAGCTCCATCCACCCGATCCCGGGCTCAACAACCACGTCCATGTCCTCAATAGTAATGCTTTAACACTCTAAAATATGACATAATCAGCATTAGCAATATAAAATATAAAAGCAGAAAAAAACTCCAGAATACATGTATGCATTTGACAATTCATAAGATATGCAACTGAAAGATCTCTGCCCCCAGAATAATTGCATTCACCAACAGGCTTAGAGATTTAAGTTAAGAGGTGACTTGTATAAGTTGCAGCAGAAGAGACATGCTCAAAAAAGACATTGACAGCTTCCACTTAGGCTGTGGGTCCTTTATGGTATTAAAGATATGAATCTTGCGTAGTCTTGAGAAGACAATATTCAGGAATCAGAATGTTTCAAGTAGATGCATCAAGTTATCCAGGCAGATATAAAAGAGATTTACATACTTTCACATAGACATGTCAATGCAAACACCACCAAGAGGAGATAAGGTGTGACCCTCAATTGAAGTTGCTCCACCATATGGTACAATAGGGATCTGAATAACATAAAGACAACCCAAGTCAGTACTTGCCAAAAGAGCAAGATATTTCATACCATAATCAAGAACAAAAGAGATACAAATAAAAACAAAATACATAGGTAATGAGGATTAAAAGTTTAGATATAGCTAGAGAACTGAGGGTCAAATCTTCAGATTTAGTTAGAGAAATCTATGTATTATATACATCATAGATCTACAAGCATCAAATATAAAATGTTAATACTGAGCACTACCAATTAGAAGCGGATGCTAATTTTTTTAAGGAATAATGTTAGATCCAAATAAAAGAAGAAAGGAATGGCATCTTTCACTAAAATGCGAAAAGGAAGAGCTATACTCTATGTTTGTCACAGCATTTTACAATTTGGAAACTTCCTTTCAGACCTGCATAAAGAAATTATAAATCAAAATATTTTGCGAAAAAATTATGAAATATGAAGAGAACTTCCAAAATAGACTGCATGCAACTTGGAGAACTCTCTTTTAAAACCCTGTTATGGCTCTCTTGCAAGCACATGATATTAGTAATCATATCCAATGATCTACAATAATTGCTATGTACAAATCTATATTCAGAATTGCACAAGGATGTTTAAATCTCCAACAAGCTTTCACAACAACCACGATAGTTTCAAAACACAAGCAATTTAGTCCAGGACAAAAAGGAATTACAATAGTGATAAGCATAGCAAACCAAGAAAATGATCGGTGCATGATAAAAACTTTCTCTTTTTAAATACCAGAAATTCCTAAAGGTACATGTGCCTGAGTTCATTTGAGGACCACTCCAAAAGCCTACAACCTTGTACCCAATAACCTTTTGGAATATGAATACCCAAGTAAATGGCTGTAAGGGAAGCTGAAATCCCTAAACTATTCATCGGAACAAAAGGTCTTAACACTCAACCAACACTTGGGGTTGAATGTTATATGATATACTCGTACACAAAAGAACAGACACCAGTTGTTGATGCTACCTTTTTGAATTTGATTTTCATAAACCTGCACATTATTTCTTTGAAATTTAACAAAAAAAACATTTCACCTCAGTGTGTTTCCAAATAATATCAAATTTCAATGTTACATTCGCAAGATTTTAAGCAAATTAAATTTAATTAATAAAAAATAAATAAATTTCCGTTAACTTCTATTCAAAAATACATGAGAAAGATTATATCTATGACATATGAAAACCAGAGTAGTTAACCCCCAACTGTTTCCAAAATTAGGCATCTATAAAATCCTACATGATTCTTAAACCCCCATGGAATAAGGAAAATATTTTCAATTTGCAAAATGTTCAACGTATCCCTTACTTGCACCTCTTAAATGGAAAAATCAAATACAGAGTTAAACCAAGAAATGCACCAAGCACTCAAAAAGAACACAAGGCAAGAATGAAGAAGCAATCTCACCTTGGGAAAACAACGATATCAGGAATATTAACAGCTTTGTGAAAGCTGTTTGTGGTTTTCCATGGAAGTACCTCTCATAATCCAATGTAACATTATCCTATACAAATTAAATAAATAAACTAATTGATACTTTTATCACCAGAGTAAGCAAAAAGGACATCATTTCCATACAATTCACAAAAAATTCTTTAATAACAAATAATACTTGACAAATGGCCTTGAGGTCATCAATAAACTCCTGGGAAACTTCCTTGTGAGATCCCTCACTTCATATTCTGTGCTTCCTTTCCCACCAATGCTTACACCCCTAAAAAACATAATCAAGAAAAGAAACCACAGTCATAATCAACACAATAACTACCATTTTCACTTTGCAACATAATACGTCACATTAATACCCTTAACCGATGACCATAACATAAAACAAATGTTGCTCTTACGGTACTGGACCAGTAACGTTGCAGGACCGTTCTAGTTACCTTAAACCATTTTTCAAGTACCAAATGAATTACCAAAACTGCCAATACTAAAACAATTAAAACATTTTATATTCTACAGAAATCTGTTGCCGGTCCAGCACCATTACAGTACCAAGGTTGTTCTAGTTACTTGAACGATTCTTAAATTCCCAGCAGTGCGGATACTAAACACATAAAAACATTTATATTTCCAGAAAACCGGTTGCTGTCCAGTAACGTTACTGGAGCGATACTCTACATTATATACCTACGGAAATCGGTTATTTGTAGTAACGTTAATGGAGGATACACTGGATTTATTTATAATTTACGGTTATCGGTATCGGTCCAGTACGGTTACTGGAAGGATACACTAGATTTATATTCTACGGAAACAGTTATGGTCCAGCAACGTCACTGGAGCGATACTCGAAAAAGATAATTAAAAAAAAAAATGAAGAGAGAGAAAGAGAGACCGATAATCGTAATGGACGAATCGCAGAGAGAAGAGACGAAGATTGCGATTGAATATCCGAAACAGAGACGGCCAAAAGAATCAAAGAGCTCGAGAACAATAGAAACGGCTGCTTAGTTCTGAGCTCTCCGCCGCTGCTTGTGTTACCGGTGTTGGATGTGAGAAGAGTTCGGACGTTTCTGGAAGCGCGAAGATTGGAGAAAATGAAGTACGAGAAGACGAGCTGCGGCTTTAAGTCAAAGAAAAGGGAATTATATATGAAAAGCATTTTCAGTAAAAATTCGCAATTCAGCTTGAAAAAGTCGAGTTGATTAAGGCATGATATGTCCACATGCTTATTTAAGTAGAAATACTTTTATAAGCCAAATCAATCATTGCTAGCGTATTCTGTTCACAATAGAGAACTCCATTTCATAATTTATTTATGCTCAACCACTATACAAATAGGCTTTGATTTTCAATTTTGTGTAGACTATAGATTATTGATTATGAGTGTTGACGCTCGTTTTTTAGTGAATACGAACTAGTGATGTGGACCCAACTGTCAGGGCGTCCAAATTCAAGTTTGAAGAGTAAATCTTACAATGGCAATGGCTACGGCTACTCAGTTGAGGGCGATGCATCTTTGGTTCAATCAATGTCCAAGTTTAAGTCCATAGTTAAAAGTCTAAGTCCAATGATCAACCAAGCTACGGTAAATTTGATGAGTAGTCTTCTTTGCCTTCTACAAAATAACCATAGTCAAGGAGAGTCGACTAGGGGTTTCGTCAGCGTAGAGCCGACGACAACACTCAATTAGAATCTAGTTTATCAGAAAATCTAGAGTGAGATGCTCCCAAAAATATTTAATTATAGAAAATAAAAAGTAAATGAATAGTAAAACTGAGAGTATCATGGCTCAAATATTGGGATACAAGTTATAAAGGTGGAGGGTTAATGGTCTCTAAGGTGATAATTCTTGAGGTAGAACCATATAATGTTGACTTATTGGCGTATGACCGTTGTGAAATCAAACTTCAAAGCTATTGTACACTCATGAGGACAGCTAGCCATTGGCAACGAGGTATTTGGTTAATGAGCTCCTTTGGTGTTGAGAAGAGCTAGCCATGGGAAATCAACTTTTTTTAAGACGATGCCTAGTTCATTCATGAGATTTTGGTCTTGGGAACACAACAACATTCCCTCCAACTAAAATTGAAATCGTTAAAGTTGAAATCATCGAAATGAGATGGTTAAAATCTCATCATCCACGAATTCAAAGCTCAAGAACTCATCACTCATGACTAGCTCTCCTCATCGCACAAAGAATTCATCGCCCATGGCTAGCTCTCCTCATCAACCAAAGGCACTACAAGACTAAACAAGTATACAATAGTTATAAAGTTTGATTTCATAGCGGTTGTATGCCAAAAAGTTAACAACACGTGATTCAACCTCAAGGATTGTCATTTTGGAGACCACTAACCCTCCCCCTCTACATATAGTGCCTTAATATTTAAGCCATGGAACTCTCAATTTCACAATTTAATTACTCTTTCTCTCACTAAACTTAATTATTTTTTAAAGCATCTCACTCTATATTTTAAGGTATACCAAATTCTAACTTGAACGTCAAAGGGCCGCTAACGTGGAAACCCCTCATCGACTCCCTCTAATTGTGGCTTGGTTTGCAGAAGACAAAGAAGACCACTAATCAGACTTAATTAGCTTGCGCGATCATTGGACTTCGACTTTATACTAGAAACCTAAACTTAGACGCTAATCAGACCAATCACACATCACCTTCCATTGATCGACCGAGCACTTGTAGTCATCACCAAGGTAAGATTATGCGTTAAAGTCAGATTCAGATGCCCCGATACCCGAGTCCACATTATTAGTTAACATTCAACCAAAAAAAAGCGTCAACAATGAGGATTGGCTTTCTCCCCAATTATCTATTTCTTTCCTCAATTTCTCAAGCCCTTTCTTTTTCCTTACTTCATTCTATTTCCTTATCTATCTTATTCTATTTCCTTCTTTTTCCCTACCTCGTTCTATTTCCTCACCTGTCTTATTTTATTTTCCACCAGTCCTACATCATTTTATGGAAATTTTTCTAATCTATTTAAACCAAGTAGTTTCAAATTTATGAACAAGTTCACTAACAGTTGACTCACTGAAATCATTGCCTCAAAATTAGGTTCCATTGCAAAGCATGCCCACAGTGCTTCCTTCCTTATCTGTATGAAAGCCAAAGAACTTTACAGAATGCAGAGAGAATTACAAATCAAAAAACTTGTGCATACTGAAAACCATCTAAAAGATAAATAAAAGTTTCACCAGGGAATTAAGAGCGCAAAACAAGACCCATATTGTTATATCTTAACATGAGAAAGGCCAAAAACATCTCTTTTTTGCTCTCTCACTCTCCCACTCCCCATTTGACATGTGTACAAGAAGACAAATAAAATGAAAAAGAGAGTAATCATTTGTTTATTATCTTATGTCTTTTCTGCACATATCACAATGAGAGTGAGTGAGAAAGAGAGTGTTCATTAACACTCCTCATCTTAACATATCTAGTTCTACTTTATTTATGGGAGCTTATGAACAGGTAAAACCACTGTACAATATTACTGAACTGAAAAGGTTTGGAAATATTAATTTCAAAATTATACATTATAGCCTAGAATAAGATCAAAATAAAAAGGTGACAGCCCCGAAGAAGGAAAAGAAGACATAAAATACATACAGCAAAATGTGAATGTAAGAGCCATAAACCCACAATTCAGATGGGAAAGAACTAGAATGCAAACAGTATTACAAAAATCAGATTCTTGTACCTTCCAAAGTTCCTTCTTAGCTTCAGGCTCTTCCGCGAAAACAAAATCTGAGCCATTGTGCTCAGAAACAATCTTCTGAACAATTAATGTTTGCTCGCGTGAATATGCCTCTTAACAATTGTAAAAAGAACATATTAAAAGTTAGGATAAGATAAGAATGCACACAGCTAATAAAACAACTCTTTATAGTACATTGATGCATTCATTCATACACAGCAAATATAGGGGAAAGAGAGGAGAAAAAAAAAGGTAATATCATGAGGAGAAAAGAGGATGACTTACACAAACCGTCAGTAGCAAATATTTTAGATTTTATATTTGTAATAATTTTGACCCAAATTTCATCAATTTTTACCGGTATAAATCAGTAGAGTGAAAAAATTAAATCTTCAGCAACCAAACCTAAAATCCAAAGTCATGGTATCCAACATGTTCAAATCCTGCAAAAACCTGTTCTGGGCATCCTTTCATAGACCATACAAATTTTTATATTGTCAATCATCTATTAAGATTAATTTCCAAAATGAAAAGAAGCCTTCTTTGTGGATTATTGGACACCTCTCACCAATTTGCATATTGTGGTTTCCAAATTAAAGGGAAGCCTTCTTTGTTTGTTACTGGACACCTCTCATCCCAGAAGTGCACCTCCAATTGCTGCTTAGCTGTTTGACTGTGATTACATCACTATTTTTCCTTTTCCTTTTCCTTTTGCAATTTAATTATACAAGTACTCTAAATAGTCACTCCATGAACAAGATTCCCCAGGGCTCCATTAATTGAAGAGCACACCTCACACCCACACTTATTGGAATAATATGTTCAGATAAAATTCAAAAAATCAAACGCTATAGCACAACTTCCTTTCTTTTTGCTTGGCAAACATAATTACTGACCCAAGTAGGATTGACCCACAACCTCGTACTCAACCACGCTCCTATTTGTGTACATATTCTGATAACTATAGCTTAAACATATTAAAGTGAAAAACAAAGTGCATTTACACATGAAATTAGTAACTGTGGTACAGATTAACTTTTTTTAATCGCTTCATTTTTCCCCCAATTTTGCATTAATCCACCATCACATTAGCCTAGGTCATGCTACGAATCAGATGTTGATTCCAAAGACAAGCCAGATTCCATCTGGAAAAATGAAAAGAAGATCTGCATATATTACTATGATATCCTATACTTAATCAAATTATATACGAATTGAGGCCTACCAATCTCATTTTTCCAGCTGTGCATATCGTAAATATAACAGATCCATTAAGATCTAAAGAAGGAAGAAAATAAGGTTTATAAAATTGGATAACCGCCCAAATTCAGATTAGCAAGAAATTTTTGTCTGGTCTCAGATCATGAAATATCAAATTCCTTCTAATTGTCTTAGCAGGTTGATCTGTGTACATGTAAACATGACCTTGGTTTACAAAATCCCAATGAAAAGTTACAATGAATGGGCTGCATGATAGAATGTTTCTAAAATTGGCACAATTAAATTGATTAACAAAATGAATATAGTGAAAGAGGTATCTCATCTCACCAGTGCCTATAAGTTCAAACATCAGAGTCGGAAGTTCAGGCAAATTCTTCCCATTAGCAATGTTGACAGCTTTAACCTGAACCTCATCCAGCAGCTCCACCCTTGACACCTGTAGAGTTTGTAAAAACTAAAAAAACTGAAGAGGGATTGAATAAGTGAACAAAGCTTGTAGATAAGGCCCCACCTGTATACCAGTCAACATAGTAGCAATAGCAACATCTGCTGCATCCTTAATTGTAGGAAAGTTACACATTGCAACCTACAACATCATCAAATTCAGTCAACAAAATTCATTGTACATTCTAACTACTCCATTAAAATGGATAGCAAGAGAATCGAGTACTCCATAAGGGAAAACTTCTCAAAATTTCAAGGTCAGCAAACTCATGTTTAAGTGCAAAAAGAAACACTTATCACTTTATTGGCAGCCTAAAGCTGTCTTTTTCCCCCCTCCGTTTTTTCTAAGGGATTTGTTTTCTCTAAGGGATTTGCTTGTTTACAATTCTTAGCACACTCCAAGGGGTAAAGTGTTTGCTTTGATTCATGAGGCAATCAAATCAGCCGAGATATGTCTGCTCATCTAGCAACAAATTAGATTTATAGAAGCATGAGGCAGGACCCACAAGTTATGACAATAAGAAAATGCAAATCACAAACCTAATCTGTCTATCTAGATCTCCAGATGCTTTCATCCACAAGACTTGGTTACAAATTTTCCCAAATCTTAAGTAAAGGCAACCATTCCAATTTAAAAATAGTTGGAACTTGTTAACTTTCAATTTTTTAAATGATAATCGAGAAAGAATAGAGAGAAAAAACAATGAAATAAACGGCCTGCGATAAACATAATTTGAAGGGCTTATGTTTTCCATTGCATAAAAGCTAAATGCAAATATTATGTTTTGAGTTAGATATACTCAATAACAAAACTATAAATGCCAAATTCATTACTTCTATGAGGCATTTAATGGCACAAATTGCAGGAAATCAAAAAACTTCCTTATTGAAGTTATATAGTTTTAAAGTTTTCTTGTATATTACATGATTCCAGTTATCATGAGATGCAACATTATTCTTCAATATTGAGGTGGTTCCAATTATCTTGGGTACAACTTCTAACTTTTCACTGCATATGTTTTTCCCATGTTCTATGTAATCTGATTATTTGTTTATTTGATGAGAAGAGTATGGATTTTAAGCACAAGCAAGCTCTATGCTTTCCTTTCAGAACAATTTTATATAGCAAGCATCAGAAGAGCGTAGAAGATATGTTCTGACCGTAAATTTAAAAATAAATATATAACTAATCATGACAGTGCTACTAACAGCATGTACACAACATAATTATCATTTCAATCTCAGTAAAATCCCATCTTGTCTAGAGAAAAATACTAGTTAGAAATTTGAATTGAACTAAAACAGAATTGCTTTCCAACAGAGAAAGGTCAAGTTACCACTGAATGCTGAGGAATTTTCTGAAGCCGTAGAGTAACTTCTGTTATTACACCCAGGGTTCCCTCACTTCCAATTATGAGACGGGTCAAATCATACCTAATATAAGCAAGTCTTATAAGGTTCACAGCTGAACAAAAATAGGAAAGAGGAAAGGAAAAAGAAAAACGAATCTTCTAAGCACCATGAAACTAAAAATATAAGATTTGTGACTCAAACTTATTGCTGATTGAGTAGATATTCCATGCATGGAAATGCAAATTGTGGACAGACTAAAGGATGGGAATCATGGACCAAGAAATCCTTCTTAAAACAAATATATCAGGAATTAAAATTTCAAAGGCCTAGACTGACAAGGCAAAATTGAAAATAGAGAAAAACTAACATTGTTTAAGAAACATTACAAAATTAAACCAAACACATTCAGTGATATACATGCATTGCTAATACAAGTTGCAATGGCTCTAACTTAAGTAGAAATGCATTTCTCCCTTTTACTTGCATTTCACTTGATAATTAAAGAAAATTTCTTGATTCCTCACAAATGTAAGAGGACCATAACAAACAAATACAATCAGAAGGCAAACTCAAGGAAGTCACAATGACCTTATGCGCATATATTTTCAAAAAGCATATATTTTCAAAAACCCTTATAATTTCAAGCATTGAAGAAAAGACCATCATAGAGAATGTGCCCCTCTCAGCTATATTAGCTTTACATAGCCTAGTTAAAAAAACATATATAAGACTCATAACATAAATGCGAGTTAACACACTCGATTTACAACACAATCATAATTAAGAATTGTAGTGGATTACTGGATTTATGTATCAGGAGTAAAGGCAGTTAATGATAGCAAAACAATGGATGATCAATTGATATGTTAAACTGTCATTCAAGAAAGCTCAACCAATTATATCTGTCTAATGGTTGTTTCCGTAATTTCAAGAAATAATGGTTGGAATCTCTTTGTTCTACTTTGTCTATTCCTTATTAATTAAAAAATAATAATAATAATAACTAGATTGATGTAGATAAGTGAACAAACCCTGCAGCACTCTTTCGTGCACGAGAAGCTGTCTTGACAATATCTCCATTGGCAAGAACTACCTGAGGTGTACACATTATTAGAGATATATCACTTTATGGCTAAATAATACATGAGAAGGGAAACTGACAAACCCTGAGATTGATGACATTATCACGCATTGTTCCATACCTACATGCTAAAAGCAAAATCATTAAATCAAAAGGCAAACTGAACCATCAAAATAGACTCCAGAACTAGTTTGTTGCTAAAGCATTTTGCATCTAGAGTTGAACTTCACCTAAAGACAAACCCTTGAATATATTCAAACTCTAGAAAATAAAGATATTCCTAATATTAAAACGCAAAAACTTACACAGAGGTGCGAAAAGGTCTTTGGTTTTACTTACTATTTCTCGCCAAAATTTGAGATAAGTATTCCATTACTGGTCAAGTAACATATAATTTTGTACTACTATCTCTTTTTACTAGGAACAGCAATCTCACATGTAAATACCCTTAGCAATCAATAAAATGTCAGAGCTAATGAAACAGTGCAACTACCTGACTGCTAAAGAACCAGAGCAACGTGTAGCACACATCCCCCCAATGGTTGCACCAGGCCCTGTATATCAAGATAATTTATGAATATGTTCACCTCAATTGCCAAAGTGACAACAGAAAAAACAAAAGACAGAGGTAGAGAGAGAGGCAGCTCTTGGGAAGCAGGAGACAAACTCAAGCAAAAACTTGGCAACTCACACTACACTGTCCAGGGCATACACATTTGAAAAATTCTGACTTCATATAGAGTTTGAAATAATTTTAGCTGTGTCCCAAAATATCAATCAGGGCAGAGAATGATTGACCATTAATAACATTAAGAAGAGAACCATAGTAACCTGACCAGGATCAAGGGGAAAGAATAGACCATATGGCTCCAAGTATTCATTGAGCTCCATCCACCCGATCCCGGGCTCAACAACCACGTCCATGTCCTCAATATGTAATGCTTTAACACTCTAAAATATGAACATAATCCAGCATAAGCCAATATAAAATATAAAAGCAGAAAAAAACTCCAGAATACATGTATGCATTTGACACATTCATAAGATATGCAACTGAAAGATCTCTGCCCCCAGAATAATTGCATTCACCAACAGGCTTAGAGATTTAAGTTAAGAGGTGACTTGTATAAGTTGCAGCAGAAGAGACATGCTCAAAAAAGACATTGACAGCTTCCACTTAGGCTGTGGGTCCTTTATGGTATTAAAGATATGAATCTTGCGTAGTTCTTGAGAAGACAATATTCAGGAATCAGAATGTTTCAAGTAGATGCATCAAGTTCATCCCAGGCAGATATAAAAGAGATTATACATACTTTCATCATAGACATGTCAATGCAAACACCACCAAGAGGAGATAAGGTGTGACCCTCAATTGAAGTTGCTCCACCATATGGTACAATAGGGATCTGATTATAACATAAAGACAACCCAAGTCAGTACTTGCTCCAAAAGAGCAAGATATTTCGTCATACCATAATCAAGAACAAAAGAGATACAAATAAAAACAAAATACATAGGTAAATGAGGATTAAAATGTTTAGATATAGCTAGAGAACTGAGGGTCAAATCTTCAGATTTAGTTAGAGAAATCTATGTCATTATATCATATCATATGATCTACAAGCATCAAATATAAAATGTTAATACTGAGCACTATCCAATTAGAAGCGGATGCTAAATTTTTTTAAGGAATAATGTTTAGATCCAAATAAAAGAAGAAAAGGAATGGCATCTTTCACTAAAATGCGAAAAGGAAGAGCTCATACTCTATGTTTGTCACAGCATTTTACAATTTTGGAAACTTCCTCTTCAGACCTGCATAAAGAAATTATAAATCAAAATATTTTGCGAAAAAATTATGAAATATGAAGAGAACTTCCAAAATAGACTGCATGCAACTTGGAGAACTCTCTTTTAAAACCCTGTTATGGCTCTCTTGCAAGCACATGATATTAGTAATCATATCCAATGATCTACAATAATTGCTATGTACAAATCTATATTCAGAATTTGCACATAGGATGTTTAAATCTCCAACAAGCTTTCACAACAACCACGATAGTTTCAAAACACAAAGCAATTTAGTCCAGGACAAAAAGGAATTACAATAGTGATAAGCATAGCAAACCAAGAAAATGATCGGTGCATGATAAAAACTTTCTCTTTTTAAATACCTAGAAATTCCTAAAGGTACATGTGCCTGAGTTCCAATTTGAGGACCACTCCAAAAGCCTACAACCTTGTACCCAATAACCTTTTGGAATATGATATCCCAAGTAAATGGCTGTAAGGGAAGCTGAAATCCCTAAACTATTCATCGGAACAAAAGGTCTTAACCACTCAACCAACACTTGGGGTTGAATGTTATATGATATACTCGTACACAAAAGAACAGACACCAGTTGTTGATGCTACCTTATTTGAATTTGATTTTCTCATAAACATGCACATTATTTCTTTGAAATTTAACATAAACAAAACATTTCACCTCAGTGTGTTTCCAAATAATATCAAATTTCAATGAGTTACTTCGCAAGATTTTAAGCAAATTAAATTTATAATTAATTAAAAAATAAATAAATTTCAGTTAACTTCTATTCAAAATACATGAGAAAGATTTATTCTAGACAGTATGAAAACCAGAGTAGTTAACCCCCAACTGTTTCAAAAATTAGGCATCTATAAAATCCTACTGATTCTTAAACCCCATGGAATAAGGAAACATATTTTCAATTTGCAAAATGTTCAACGTATCCCTTACTTGCACCTCTTAAATGGAAAAATCAAATACAGTATTAAACCAAGATAAATGCACCAAGCACTCAAAAAAGAACACAAGGCCAAGAATGAAGAAGCAATCTCACCTTGGGAAAACAACGATATCAGGAATATTAACAGCTTTGTGAAAGCTGTTTTGTGGTTTTCCATGGAAGTACCTCTCATCATAATCCAATGTAACATTATCCTATACAAATTAAATAAATAAACTAATTGATACTTTTATCACCAGACGTAAGCAAAAAGGACATCATTTCCATACAATTCACAAAAAATTCTTTAATAACAAAAATAATACTTGACAAATGGCCTTGAGTTCATCAATAAACTCCTGGGAAACTTCCTTGTGAGATCCCTTCACTTCATATTCTGTGCTTCCTTTCCCACCAATGCTTACACCCCTAAAAAACATAATCAAGAAAAGAAACCACAGTCATAATCAACACAATAACTACCATTTTCACTTTGCAACATAATACGTCACATTAATACCCTTAACCGATGACCATAACATAAAACAAATGTTGCTCCTTACGGTACTGGACCAGTAACGTTGCAGGACTGTTCTAGTTACCTTAAACCATTTTTCAAGTACCAAATGAATTACCAAAACTGCCAATACTAAAACAATTAAAACATTTTATATTCTACAGAAATCTGTTGCCGGTCCAGCACCATTACAGTACCAAGGTTGTTCTAGTTACTTGAACGATTCTTAAATTCCCAGCAGTGCGGATACTAAAACACTAAAAACATTTCATATTTCCAGAAAACCGGTTGCTGGTCCAGTAACGTTACTGGAGCGATACTCTACATTATATACTCTACGGAAATCGGTTATTTGTCCAGTAACGTTAATGGAAGGATACACTGGATTTATTTCATAATTCTACGGTTATCGGTTATCGGTCCAGTACGGTTACTGGAAGGATACACTAGATTTTATATTCTACGGAAATCAGTTATTGGTCCAGCAACGTCACTGGAGCGATACTCGAAAAAGATAATTAAAAAAAAAACAAATTGAAGAGAGAGAAAGAGAGACCGATAATCGTAAGTGGACGAATCGCAGAGAGAAGGAGACGAAGATTGCGATTGAATATCCGAAACAGAGACGGCCAAAGGAATCAAAGAGCTCGAGAACAATAGAAACGGCTGCTTAGTTCTTGAGCTGCCTCCGCCGCTGCTCGTGTTACCGGTGTTGGATGTGAGAAGAGTTCGGACGTTTCTGGAAGCGCGAAGATTGGAGAAACTGGAGTACGATGAAGACGAGCTGCGCAAGCGAGAGAACCAGACAGAGAACCCCATGGCGCTTGGATTTGATTATTTCGGGAGTCTGCGGGTAAAGAAAAACAATAGTTAAAGGAACGGGTAATTTTGTTATTTTCGGAAAAACATTATTTGGATTTAATGATTTATGGACCAATGATAGCTATTAATACGATTAAAACTCTTTATTATGTTCTTTATTTTAAATAGCATTTTTTATATAAATAAATAATATTTTTATCAATTTTTAAATATATAAAATAAAATTTTTATTCAAATCTAATAGATTCTTTAAATTTTATGAGAGATAATATGTCTTTTTAATAAAGAAACTTAATAAGAGAGATAAATCATAAATAAAATACATAAAAAGTTGTAATTTATTATTTAAAATTATGATAAAGAGTAAAGACTGAAATTTGACTCTCTAAATGTGGAGAGTCAAACTCACTCTTTAATTCATATTTAAAGAATAAAGAGTATCTTGAACTCTTATTTCTATGAATAAACTCTTTATAAGAAAGAGTTTTTGTCATATAAAGAATCATTTATTTTGAAGAGCATTTTTTATATAAATAAAAAGTATCTTCATTAATTTTTAAATATAAATAACATAATTTTTATTCAAATCCAATCGACTCTTTAAATTTAATGAAGATACTCTTTATTTTTAAGAAAGAGACTTAATAAGAGAAATAATTAACAAATAAAATACATAGGAGCTTGTAGTTTATTAATTAAAATTAAGATTGGGAGTGAAATTTGACTCTCTAAATATGGAGAGTCAAACTCACTCTCTAATTTATATTTTAAAGATAAAGAGTCTGTTGGACTCTTGTTCTTATGGATAGACTCTTTATAATAAAGAGTTTGGGTCATTTTAATATTTTATTAATTAAAATTAGGATTGGGAGTGAAATTTGACTCTCTAAATGTGGAGAGTCAAACTCACTCTCTAATTTATATTTTAAAGATAAAGAGTCTGTTGGACTCTTGTTCTTATGGATAGACTCTTTATAATAAAGAGTTTTGGTTATATAAAGAATTATTTGGAGACGCTCTTACTCTTTATCTTAATTTTAATTAATAAACTGTAAATTTCTATATATTTTATTTATTAATTTTCTCTTCTATTAAGTTTTTTTTTTTTTTTGAAAATAAAGAGCATCTTCATTAAATTTAAAGAATCCATTAGATTTGAATAAAAATTTCATTCTTTATATTTAGAAATTGATAAAGATGCTCTTTATTTATAGGAAATATACTATTTAGGGGGCGTTTAGTTGGAGGTAATAGAATACTATTAGGGTTATGTCATCTTATATTACTTGATTACCATGTTTGGTTGTCAAGTAATATAAAATTCTGGTAATCTTGCATTACCAATAGTTGTTACTGTTGGTAATATTGGAGGTAATCAGATTACCTCAATTTTTTTAGGTATTGTAAGATTACTTTAGTAATCTTATTTTTTATTACAATTATATCCCTTATTAATAAAAATTTTGGACAATAATGCCCCTGTTTTAAAATAAATTAACATTAATATACCATTTCAATTTTACCCTTGTTTAATTAAGTTTTTGGACAATAATGTCTTTATATTTAAAACAAATTATAGACCACCACCACCACCACCGCCACCTAACCACCATTGCCGAAAGTAAGCCAACCACCACAGACCACCGCCAGAAAGTCGCCAGAGTCCCTAAAAATGACTGAGATTCGCTGGGAGACTCTGAGAGGCTTCAATATGGCCGTTTTCGGCCATGTTGATGGTCGAAAAAGGCCATATCAGGCTAGATCCGGCCTTTAACGGTTTCAGCCATAAATATGGTCAGAAACAGCCATATCAGAGCCTCATGGTCACGGTGAGCTACTCACGGCGACTTTCGGAGACTTCCGGTGGTGGTTTGTTGTGGTGGCAGGGAGTGGGGGTGATTTTATCATAAATTAAAGTTTTATATAAGCGGGGTGTTTTAGCTAAATTTGAAATATTGGGGATTAAAAGAAATTATTCAAAAGTTAATAATAAAAATAATATTATATTAATATTTTAAAAGAGGACAATTTAGTAATTTAAATAATACACCTACCAATTTATTCTTCTAACCAAACGTATTAATATAACATACCCACCAACTAACCAAACACATTTTCCTAAAGATTTTCAGTAATCTTAAAAGTAATATAAGATTCAAGTAATCCAATATTCCTAGTAATCTAACATTTCTTGAACCAAACACACCCTTCAAATAAAGAGTAGAGCCGGATATGCTTAGCATGGTTTACGTTGAATTTGGGAACGGGAAGTTCGATAAATATAAACACGTGCCAGAAACTTGATCTAACATAATAACTATCATTTTAGTCCTGAACATAATAACTATCACGTGTGATTATTCTAGGAAAAATCAATTGAGTCCATATAGAAATACATTACATTATCAAACTTATCTTTTGTAATTAAATGTGGGAGGTTTCAAAAAACTACCCCTAACCTTTTGTTAATATTTACTGGTGGTATTTATGCAAGAAACTGTCAAAATATACACCTAAAACCTAACACCGACAAATTAAGTTTAACAGTTCAAGGGTATTTTGGGCAATTAATTAAAAATAGTATACTCTATTTCTAAGAACTATTTTAAAAAATTAAAAATTAAATTAGAGTGAGACAAAAATGTATCAGATTCGAGTTGTCGTGCATCACAGAAATTTTCAGATTCAATGAGAGCGAGGGCAAAGTGATATTTCATATTAATTTCCCATTTCAAGGTAACAAAACTTAACATTGTTAGGGTTCAGGGGTACAATATGATAATCTATGGTATACTAACCATGAACTTGGGTGTCAACTAAAGGTGAGGGGTAGGTTTGACATTCTCCCATTTAAATATTAGTAAAATAATAACTCAGTCGTTAAAATAAAAAATTCTTTAAACTATTCCTTTGAAAACTTATTAATCTAATCCAAGGAGATGAAACATATATTAATCCTTTTCAGAATAGAGTAATACTACTCATTTGAAATATATTTAAGTCCAACAGTATACATGTATAACAAATCAATCACGAGGTATTATATAAAAAGTTTCAAATCATGGTTAATGAGTTACATATGTGTATACGATTTGAAAACTAGTTTTTTTTTTTTTTATTGCCACACGAATAGGTAGTATATTAATATGATACGAGTTATAAGATTTTATCTAGCTCTTTGTTGAAAAATTGTTAAGTATTAAACGCCCTGACGATTTTCAAAAAATATTCAATCTTTGTAGTATAGGAAGTATATCGTATATACTATGGGATTGTTGGTGAGAAATGTCATGAAACAATTGTTTTAAAATCCACACTGGAGGGCAACCCGTTTTGTTGCCCAAGTCATGGGTCAACTGGTTATTTTAAAAAAACTACATATTAATCCCTTAAATTTTAATATATTACAAAATTCCCCTAAACTGGACCGGAGAAGTTGTTGGGTCCCGGTCGGTCCCCTTTTTAAAACAGAGCATGAAACTAGCAATAAACTCTACAACATTACAAAGAACTTTAAGACATTATACTTGTTCACAATTCATAACCATTTTTGGTAATAAAAAAAATATTTACCAATTCTTTGAGGAAATTTATTTCTCCACTAGAAGCTAATTTAGAGTTAAAATTGATCAATTTCAAAAAACCAAAAGGTGTAGCTAAGCATGTCTTTAATCAATTCGATCAAAAATCAAAATTATTAAATGAAAATTGAATTAGTACTTAAATTAATGAAAAATATAATAAAAACCAAAAATTTAGTTATGTCACTTAAATTAGTTTTTCATTTAAATATTTATGATTTTTGGCTAAGGGTTGTATTATTTAAAAAATTTTAAATTTTTATTAGCGATTTTACATTTTTTTTTTAATTTATAAAGAATTGTCAATAAATTTTAGGATAAAATAGTCAAGTTAAGAATATAGTTAGGGTTAATTGACAATTGTGTTTGGTTAAATTGAGTCACTCCCATATTTGAGGGTTTGCATGGTAGTTCTTAGAACTTTTGGAGACAAAGTTTATTTTGTGAGTGTCAAGGGGTGTAAATAAAATGTATTAACCCTTAATAATTAAGTTCCATTTTCCTTTATCATTCTAAAACTAGCGAGATGATCCTGGCAGTAGGGGGTTTAGAGTAATTACTAGTACCTCAGGGGGTTTAAAGTCATTATCCCTACATTGAATCTCTCTAATTCTTTATAGGGATAGGAATTAGGAGGTAAGAACTTTTCAGAAGAAAACTTTACGTTTTGTTTTGTGGGTTGATGGGTTGAGACTAGAGACTAGAGTCAAATTTTAACATTAGTTTTGTCTTTTTCTATTTTGTTTGATTATATAATAAAGTATAAAACTTTAAAATTTAAAATATCTATTAATTCGTGGCTAGATCGGGCCAGCACTTAAATAGGCGGGCCTTAGTATACCGAGAGCCTTACTTTTTCAGGCCTGGGCCCGAGTAACCCCAGGCTGTACTTGGCCCGGACAACAAAACGTTAGAGTAACACTGGACAAGAAAACATCTTCAAATCTTGTAAACAAAATGACGTAATACAAAATAAATGAAAAGAGTGAATATAAAAAGTTAATCAATGAATATAGATAATATGATAATAAGAAATTAATACAACGCGACTTTGTATACAAGATTTTATATACAAGCTTTGAATGTGTAGCTCTTATCAAGTGGTCTGACCTAATAGATTCATCGATGTTGATGCAAAACCCTTAGCTAGAGGATTGAGCTTCGCGTTCTTTATGGCGGCATTCTCGCTGATATAAATCCATGAAAAGATATAACAAAGAAACTAAAATTAATGGGAAATCAATCAACAAAAGCAGATTTAATTCTTAATCTGATATGTTAGAACCTCAAGCTATGTACCCCAATACTTGGTCTTACAATAAATAATAAGTTTGCCAAGCGCAAACAAATAAAAAAGCAAACTTCTCAACACTAGAGTACATAAAAATGAAAATGAAAACAATGATGATAAAAGAAAAGAAATAATCATCCTTTTTCAAATTCAACATCAACAGTTTGTGTCATATAATCGACCGACTTATGCAAAACTAAAAGATCAGTAAACTTATTGGAAAACTTAATTTTATAGTTCTCACAAATATATTTCAATTAAAATTTTAGTTAGGATAACATATAATCACTATCATTGAAAAAGTTTTACAGGTGCAGTGACCATTAAAATTGTTTTCTGCAATACTTCTTTGTTCAAGAAAAAACCTATTCTCTTCTTCTCCAAATGGATGATGATCTAACCTATTATATTGTTACACAGTGATCACACCTTCAAAACATATCACAGTTACAGAAACTTATTATCCTCCGCACCTGACTATTAAACTTGAATAAATTGTTTTTTAGAAAGATTTGTAACTCATTATTGATCAGCACACAATTCCAATAAAAACTATAGATAATTTCATGATCGTGTGGATGATAGCTCGTTCAAGGTCAATGTTTTTCTATGCTAAGAACCAAAGGTTAACATAACTAGTCCCAAACAATAGAATCACTGGAATCTACTGGGAAAGCTCTTTATCCTATGACATATAGTGAAATTAAGCTATCTTCGACAGTCAAGTTCCCTTTACATGGAAGTAGAATTTAAAATAGTTAAAATATCTCTATAAAAATAACAAAAATTCCTGCTCTTGCTGTTTGACAATACAATAAGAGAAAAGGATTAAAGTTATTTGATATCAAAGATGATAGTGATTATATGTTATCAATAATTCTCAATTAGTCTTCACTCATCAGACCATCCATAAGGAAACAATCCATGACCAAAACCAATATACCATAATGGCAAAGTAATGGGAAGATTCTGAAAATTCCAGCATAAGCGCAGTTATATGATGACCTTTCCACAAGCAATAACTCATGATACCACTCCGGTACTTTAGATCACTAAAATTTGATATAAGAAAATAAGGGTTGATATTTCCTACTTGTAAAGCATAAACAATATTATTCTTACAATCGTGGAAGCTTCGACTAACTTTTAAAATCATTATAATTTGAGTTTCAAGAGTTTCAGCATGACTGAAGGGATTACTTAGCCACGAGTAAACTTCAGTTTCCATAACCAAACTTTTCTTTTCTTTGCAATTCAATTCTACCTCGTTTTATTTATTCATTTTTTTCCTTTCAATAAGACTTCATCTCCTCCTGAATCTCAACCTCACCTTCTTAATTTTCATTTCCCTTTTACATCTACAATTCTTACTAACATAACAAAATGAAATCATGAAGATTAACTCCTAAAAGCCTAGACCTGTAAAACAAGACCTCAAAAAATTCAATCTTTTTTTCATATTGCCTCAATAGCATACTCTGTTTACTCTTCACTAAACCTAAATGAATGGCATTCGCCCCATCGAATACAGTTAGTCAGCATTTCAGTTTTTTAAGATTGTTTTATCACTATACACTTAAACCCAGATGAGCAAAACCAAAAATAAATAAATAAAATAAAACAAAACAAAACATACCCGTCTTTCCCAGTAAGGGTGGAAGCAAACGAAATCGTAAACGGTAGAAATAGTTGAGACCAAAACGACATTGAGTCCCGTGAACACCAAAAGAGCCGTCATAGGTCGAGTTCTGTGTGGCATCTTTCCAGTTCTGCTTCGGCGACTGCCGCCAGTGAGTGGCTGTGATTTGCGCCGGAGGGAATTGAAGTTTTAGGGTTTATGATTTGAAGTTCTATAGATTTTTTGGTGGGGGGAATGGTAGGTTTAATTTAAGGGTGCTAAATGAGAAACACCAACTCGGAGAGCTCTGGTTTTGAGTTTGGACGGTTGCACCCAATTGCAACCTATTAGTTTTAGTTTCTAACAAATGCACCCCTGAGTGTCAGAGTCATTTTATGACCCCCCGAGGTTTTGTTAATAATTTCTAAACTCCCTGGAATTGCTTCTCACCTTCCTGACATTTTTATTATTTTAGATTTAATGATAAGATTAAGCTGAAAATCAAGGGATATATATAATAGATGTATTAACTATCATTTTCTGAGGTTAGTAGTTATTAGATATCATATTAATGGTAAAGGTTTAGTGAAAATATCTTTAAAGGCCTTGAAATTATTAAAATCTTTATATTATTAGAAATCCTGAAAAAATATGAAACGACCCCTCAATGAGCATTTAATTTTTGAAAGAAAAAAATAGAGCAATATTATGCTTATAACTGAGTTATACAACTAAGTCATACAAATAAATAAAAAATAAAGGATAGAGTAGTCATTTTACATAAATTTTATGTAATTTTTGTCTATTTGTATGACTCAATTATAAGTAAAATATTATTTAAAAAAAAATAATACTTATGGATCTCTTTGGGTATACGAAATAATCCCTTTGAAAGACATAAATTTACAGGAAACGAACATTAGTATTAATCATTTTGACTGGGTACAATAAAATTGGAATATTTTCTTTAACATTTATGTTACAACAGCATAACGTAAAATAATAAGATTATTGTAAGATTTATAATAATGTAATATATAATATATAATATCATAATTCTAAAATCTTATAAAAGGGGAAAATCCAACTCAAGATCTCCTAGCATCTCCCTAGATGATATGTTGTCAACTCTTCATCATTACATGGTTAAAAGGGTCTTGAGTTCGATTTGTACCAAAGAATGGTTGCCCATTTCGAAATCATGAACCCCTCAGGCAAACCTAATGATCTGACCCGTGGATTGCTTTAATAGAAAGGGGAGTTTGAACTCATTCGTGAGAGGTTTTGTTACAGTAAAACACTGTTAACAATTCATCAACATATAAAGTGTTGTAAACTCATAGTAGCATAAGTAAAACTTGTAAAATGCCGGAATTGGCCTTAGAAGCAAGTCCTATGTTTCATTTTAATCTGTTTTAGACTATCCAAACATTTCTACTGTAGCATAAACCTTTCATAAATATTAAGCCATAAGGATCCATAGAACTCCAATATCATGACATGTATGAGTATTCCTCAATCCTCTTATTGAAAAATCTTCAAAATATTGGTCAAACAACAATCACAGGTCTACCATCCCGATCATCGTCTCAAAAACATCCTATGATAATTGTTAACAACACTAGTAATTGAATCGTTTGTTTTCTTCACTATATTATAAGGAAAGCGAACTACATGACAATCAATAGTACCCAATCATGAATTTGGTTTGTGACTCCCAGAACTCCTTAGCTTGCTTCACCATCTCCGCACGCTCGGCGTTCATCCTCTCCTTCCAGTAGTCTTTGAACCTGGAAAATTTTGTTCCTCAGAAATTATGATTTTTCTCAAAAAGAACGAAGCAAGCTTTCAGTTATTTCACCTTCTTTTAAGTAACAGGTCTAGTTCAAGCATGTGGACTGCGTTTGCATATCCTCCGGCCTGCAAAATCATGGAACAGAAACTCGATCGATTAAACGGTAGATATTCAAGGCTTTCTTTCAAATATCATAATGCTCAAAACAACTCTATAATAAAGTAGAAACATCCTTGTTATATTATAAATTGAAAGGGAGAAAAGCAACACCATGAACCAATTAAAGACATTGTCTAAGTTTAAGAAGGAAAGACTTCAGAAGAAAAGATTGGAATACATTCTACGAGGAGTTTCAGTGCTATTAGTTTGAACTTTGAAGCAAACTGGTACAATTAAAGAAGAATACTACAGGATACTTTACCAGACATGAAACAAACCAGCAAGTTTGGAAATTCATTCTGCGTTGAAATCTAGGAAACCAGTTATTATCAGACAGGGGTATCAATGTAATGTAAACTGTAAAGCAGGTGCTCCTATACGACCAATCAAAGTTAGGCAATCTGATTACCGGAGCAAAACAAAAATTGTTAAGAATTATGTTTGTTATGCAACAAATGACATGTTTTAGTAGGGGTACCCCTCAGTGTGCCACTATGTCCTCAGTCATCAGAATACCGTGAATTTGCTACAACACAACCTCGAGTAATCATACATGGGAGACAGGTTGCTTCGATTCAAGAGACTCGACTTTTCCATTTTGACATGAGAATAAATTATCAAACATCAAATGATTCAATGGTACATATGACATAGAGTGAGTCAATTGACTAACGAAGTCATAAATAGCAAAGTTTCCATAACTTCCATAAAAAAATGACAGTTGTTCATAGTACAACACGAGGAACTGAAGAATCATATCCGTGGAAGTATAATTCCTAATCCTCAATTGGATTTACGCTGGAAGTGTTTTTGATTTCTCTGCATCCAAATTACAAAGCAGAGTCTTGGAAAAGAAATCAACCAGTAAATACACACAGCACAGTATTTTAAGATCAAGCAGAAGTTGAGCATCAAGTCATACATTACACACTGGTATTTCAATTAAGACTTGAACCTGTCAAGCAGAACAATTAACAATGTCTAATGACTTCCATTTTTAAATTTAAACTCATGGGATCGAAAGAGTAATTCTACTTAGTTTATTCTAACTCTAAACACAAACCTCTCTGCAGATTGGACACTTTGAATCTGGACTAGCTGCTTTGAGGCCTTCAAACATCAAAACAGAAGCAGCTGAGCAAGCACATAACTTGCAAAAGAGGTGACCGCAATTTAAAGCGTATGGATTAAAGACCGTATCCTGTCAAATCCAAACAGTAAACAAATAAAAGACAAGCTTCTCTTGAACTTGGAATTTTCAGAAACAATATCTTACCAAGCAAATGGCACAAGTCAGATCATATTCTAGCTTTATAGAATTCGGAAGGCTGAGCTTCATCACAGGCTGTGAAGGATTAAAATCACAGGAGAAATGACCGGAAGACTCGATGGATTCTCCATTATCTATTCCATTAAAATTCAAATAAAAAGCTCCCAATTCTATCAGCCAAGGGGATTGCAAAAGCTCGATATGTTCAGCCCTCATCTTGGATTTAAAATTCTTCCCATTCACAGAGCCATGCACCTGCATTCCGAAAGTTTAGAAATCCTCCGCATTATATAAAATAATTAATGTCAACCAACACTCAGCATTCTACAGAAAACAAAAACAGAATTAAAGTGGCATACCTTATCATATTTCTTCAGAATTTTTCGAATAGCAGTTGCGTTCATCGTAACATATTCAATCAACATCCTTCCTTCTTCCAACATAGCTTGCTGATCATTTTTGAAACATTGACGTACACGCAATACATATCTCTGCATTCCCCTAGCAACATGAAGATGCAGGAGATGTCTAGCTCTGGAACTAAAGCATCCAGCTATATCTGAAGCTTCCTTCATCAACTCAGAGAAGAACATCTGGTCACACGCTTCAAAATCCACAAACTTTCACCACTAACACCACTAAAATACTAGTAATTTTCCACTAGACTAGACAAAATCCATTTAACTTCCGGTTCCACTTCAATTTAGACTACAGTTTCATATTAATCATCTCCTAAGATTAAAAATAATCAACGTAAATAGGAATAAAAAAACCTTGAAGTTTAAACAAACTAACTTTTTCCCCTTTAAACTCAAACCACACAGGATAGAATTACATCTTCAACTAACCCAAATCCTGAATTTTCGCCTCCATCAGAAATAAAGACTAGTAATTTTCCACTAGAATTGACAAAATTCATTCAACTTCCACTTCAATTTAGACCATAGTTTCATGTCAAAATGCTCCTAAGATTAACAATAATTAACATAAATGGAAAAAAAAAAAAAAACTTGAAGCTTACACAAACATTCAGCTCCTAACCTTTTTCCCCTTTAAATTCAAACCATACATAATAGAATTACGTCTTCAACAAGTCCAAATCCTGAATTGCCACATGTATCACAACTAAACACTAGTAATTTTCCACCAGACTTGACAAAATCCACTTCAATAATTTAGACTACAATTTCATATCAAAATGAGTTGATTAACTACGAATAATAATTAAAAGCCAAAAAGAACTTACAAGAGCAAGATTGGCATTGATATAACTCAGACTCAGAGTCGCTCCCATGATGATTCCCATTTTGCTCAATTTTGGAAGAATCATTAAATCCTTTACAACTCCTGCACACCTTTAAAACTTTCTTAAGTCTCTTATACTCAACATGAGAACATTTCTCCAAAAAACCCTCTCGATCTCCATGCAAGTACTCCGTAAAAGTTTCTCCAAATTTCATGGTCGTCCTCTTTTCATCACATTCATCTAACACGCAAAAACTGAATTCGATTTTGTTGAAAAGACCAAAGGGTTTTGAGCAGCGAGGGTTAAAGTTTGAAAATTTTTGCAGATTGCAGCCCGGGAACGAGACTTGGCGTGGAAGGAGAAGGAACCCAGATGAGAAAAAGAGGAGTTGGATTAGGTTTGAAAGAGACGCAACCCGCGCAATTCTCGGGAGTTTAGTTATAGGAGTTGTGAGCTGTGACAGCTCTGACTGAGTTACGTATAGTAATTCGTATGGATGCATGGACTGCGCGTGTTACGTTTTGGATACTTGGCGTTGTCTTCACTACGGGAATTTATTCCTTTTTTCCCAAGTTTAGATGTTGCCGTATTTATAAGTGGCCAACACATACCCAAGGTTTTCCGTAATAACAAATTGATACCCAAAAGGTTTTAAAATAACAAATAGGTACCTTTCATCGTGTATTGTTAGTAATTTTTATTTGGTAATAGTGAAAAGACTAGAATGCCCTTGAAAGTTTGATATTTTAGTTTTTTGTAAATTTAAATATTTCTAAAAAACCTCCTAGGTTTGCTAATTTAATTAAGGGTAATGCTATACGTACTCACGGATTGTACTAACCATCTTACTAACCTTTGTTAAAATTACATATGGTACCCGTATTATGTGTATGGTACTCGTACTATGCTTTAAGTTAGTATACTGATTTATAAAATCCGTTAGTATGCAAAGTATTATTGTTTAACTAAATACCCAAATATATAAAAAAATTGTAAAATAATAAAAACACCCCCACCACCTGCAGTGCCAGATTCCGGCCACTGCCGGGGGAATTTGACAAAAATTGCATTATGACACAGACGTGACGTGTCGATCTGGCTGTCGAGGCCACAAAACTTTCGACGGCCAGATCTGGACGTAGATCTGGCCTTTTCCGGCCAAATCAGTGGCAGATCTGACCGGAAAAGGCCAGAAGTAACTCAATTTTTGGCCAAATTCTTGCGGTGGTGGTTAGAATCTGGCACTGCGGGTGGTGGGGGTGTTTTTGTTATTTTACAAAAATTTTATATGTTGGGGTGTTTAGTTCCTATGAGGTTTTTTAGAAATTTTTAAATTTGTTAAAAACTAAATATCAAACTTTCAAGGGCATTCTAGTCTTTTCATCATTACCAAACGGAAATCACTAATAGCACATGACAAAGGTACCTATTTATCGTTTCAAAACCTTTTGGGTACCACTTTGTCGTTATGGAAAATCTTGCGTATGCGTAAGTCATTCGGCCTTTATAAGTTTTAAAAACTTTTTTTTTTTAAATTGAATGTTTGTGTCTGGTTCAATCGGGATTTACAAATCATGAATTTTTAAAAGGGTTTTAAAGGGGACTCGATCTCATGAGTTCATGACACTTTCGTTCACTCTTTTATCATCAAGTCACCCAATAGTGAATCAATTTTTCTTTTCAATGCAACTTGAAAAGTAAACACCACCTAAAATTGTACTTATTTTAAATCCGAATTCCTTGGTCATAAAGAACATTGGTTTTAAGTATATGGTCTATAAGTTGATAATTTCAAAGATATTTCAAAAGAAAATGAATAATAAGAAGAAAATAGATTTTGTGCACATGAATTTCAACTTTTAAGAGAATTGATTATGATTTTTTAAATTGAAAAAAAAAAAAAAAGAATTATCAATTAGGAGACAATGTTTTTTTGAAAATGGGAAGAAAGGGACATAAATTTTAAAATAGCTTAAAAGGGACAAAACTCCGTTAACTTCCCTTAGTTCAATAGAAAAATAAAAGACATAAAGCCTAGACACTGAATTTATAAAAAAAAAAAAAAAAAAAAAAAAAAGAAGAAGAAAATTTTAAAAAATGAATAATTTAAATTTGTTATAAAAATTAAAAAAGCAAAAGAAGATAATCTTTATAGCAGAAATTAAATTATTATGGAAAAAAGTAAGATAAAAAATAAAATATTTAAGAAGCCTATTAAAAAAAATAATTAAAGAAAAGAAAAGAATAATTGGCCAACGGCTCAGGCTGTCAGGCAGCTGTCAATGCCGCTGGCCATGATTGGCACGGGCCGTATGGCCGACTGACCATGGGTGGCAGATTGGACAATTGAATTGTTAATTACTTCATGCTTTGTATTCTCTTATTTTAATTTCTCATGACCATTCTGCCTTGGTTTCTATTATTTGAGTTGGGGATGGGATAATCCGGTTAACCGAACTAGATTATTAAAATCGAAAACCGAATTAGTTTTTGGTTAGGAAAAATCCAAATCGAAATACAGACCGGTTTTGATAAAAATCGAATGTAAACCGAACCGAATATCAGTTCGGTTAACCGGTTTTTAAATTAATCTTTAATCCATAAAATCTTCAATGTTTCATTTAAGTGCCAAATTCTTTCTTTTCAACACTTTTTCTACAAACAATAAGTTGAAATGATATACAGTTGCTTGAAAATTCTTGAGTTTCCTCTGAATTTAAACATGAGAATTAACCTTTTGTTGTCAGTAAATCTTCTTTGTGAATAATCTCATAAGTGTCGGCATTAAACATATAATATGAAATGTTCATTAAAAGCAGTAGTGTGTACTTGATTTTAGTCTAATGTTGTAACTTTGAGTTACTATTTGCTTGCCATCAACAATCATCCCAACAATTAATCAAAGAAAAATTAACGAAACAAATTCAGAGAATTGAAAAGATAAACTTCAGCTAGCATCCAGGATACCCTGACTTTCGTACAACAAACTTAAACAAACAAAGACTCAAATAAAGCACACTAAAACAAACCCAGAAAGCAAAGCAAGATTAACAAAATAACAAACCCAGAATACATAAAATAAGCAAAATAAGAAACCAACGAAAAAAGGGCTTCTGGGTATCAAAATTAACAAGAAAAATCAACCATTAACCACAAAATAACTCAGAATGCATAAACTAAACCTTGAAAAACTGGTGGGTATATAATGTAAATAACAAAACAAACAAACAAAGAATCCATTTGAATCCAGAGTCTGCTCACGGTGGAGTCTCTTCAGGGTGGGTTTGCTCACGATGGAGTCTGCTCACAGTGGCGTGACTGAAGAGTGATGTGTGGACTGTGAAGATCGCTGGAGACTGGATGCAGTAGCTCGCGGTGTGGATGGAGTAGCTCTATAGCTCACGGTGTGAAGACTGGAATTGGAACTCTAGAAGTGTGGAGATTTAAGATTTGGAGGCTGAGTCACGGAGAAGATCGCTGGACTGTGAAGATCGCTGGAGAGGGGATGCAGTAGCTCACGGTGTGGATGGAGTCACGATGTGGATGGACTATGGAGTAGCTCTGTAGCTCACGGTGTGGAAGNCTAAAATTGCACTTATTTTAAATTCGAATTCTTTGATCATAAAGAAAGTTGATTTTAAGCATATGGTTTATAAGTTGATAATTTCAAAGATATTTCAAAAGAAAATGAATAATAAGAAGAAAATAGATTTTGTGCACATGAATTTCAACTTTTAAGAGAATTGATTATGATTTTTTAAATTGAAAAAAAAAAAAAAAGATATTATCAATTAGGAGACAATGTTTTTTTTTGAAAATGGGAAGAAAAGGGACACAAAATTTAAAATAGCTTAAAAAGGGACAAAACTCTCGTTAACTTCCCTTAAATTCAATAGAAAAATTTAAAAGACATAAATGCCCTGACACTAATATTTATAAAAAATAAAAATAAAAAAATGAATAATTTAAAATTTGTTATAAAAATTAAAAAACCAAAAGAAGATAATATTTATAGCAGAAATTAAAAATCAAAGGAAATAACAATTAAATTTATTATGGAAAAAAGTAAGATTAAAAAATAAATGGTGCATTTGTTTTATTATTCACTATCATATTCTCAAAATATATGTTTGTTTAATTATTTGGGAAATACTATTATATTTTTTACTTACTTTTAGACCCCTTAAGTTTATTAATTTAATTAAACACCTCTGGAAAAAAAGTTAAAAATTAACAGAAACACCTTCACTCACCCATAGTTGCCAGATTTTGGCAACCACCATCGGCGATTACTTGAATCTGTTACAACGGGGTAGAAACGACCAGAATTGGTCGGTAATTCGTCGATCTGACCTTTTTCGGTCAGATCCACAGTGGATCTGGCCTTCAACGACGACCAAAGAAATGGCCTCGTTGATGGACGACCATATCTTTGGCCGTCGCTAACGACCAAATCTGGCCTTTTGTGGCCGTCGATGACCAGATCTGATCATAGATATGGTTGAAAAATGTCAAATCGATGCATGACCGACCATTTTTGGTCAGATTTCGGCAATGGTGGCCGGAATCTGACACTGTGGATAGGTAGGGGTTTTTTTGTTATTTTACAAAATTTTTATATATTATGGGGTTTAATTAAATTAGCAAATTTAGAGGGTTTTTTTGTTAATTTTTAAATTTTACCTCGTAATACTCACCCTAGTTAACTACCCAATATTATTCTCAAAATCATATCCAAAATAACAAAACAAGCGCACCCAAAATATTTAAGAAGCCTATTAAAAAAAAAAAATAATAATAATAATAATTAATAAAAAGAAAAGAAAAAAATAATTGGCCAACGGCTCAGGCTGTCAGGCGGCTGTCAATGCCGCTGGCCATGATCTGGCGTGGGCCGTATGGCCAACTGACCATGGGTGGCACATCGGACAATTGAGTTCCTATTCTACTCTTCATGTTTTTGTATTCTCTTATTTTGATATCTCATGACCATTCTGCCTTGGTTTCTATTACTTGAGTAAGCGTTTTCATCGATAATCTACTCTCTTGGTGCTTGAATTGGAAGATATTACAATGTATAAAATACATTTTCCATGTAATAATCTTCATTGGATTTGATGATTAAGGATGTTCGAACCAGTTTATGCGTATTTTAATTAATCATTCGGAACCCTAGAACTATCAATCGAATAAGAGTTCTAGTGACTACCTCTATTAGTAACCGATGAGAGACTCAAACTCAAAACCTCTTAAGTAATACACTCAAGTAGGGGCAGATACAACCCACTCATGGCCCACCCTCAATTTTTTTAAAAAAAATACTAATATATATATTTTTTGGATTTTGATCTACCCTAACAAAAATATTAATATGTAATCAGTTTTTATTTTAATCCACCCAAAAAAAAAATTCTGGATCCATTACTGCACCCAAGAGTCTCATCAAAAGACTCCACTACCCAAACAATTGTTGTATTTCTCATTATCCTTTTGAATAGTTTTATGAGTGATTTGCCTATAATTTTTTTGATGTCTTTTCTTTTTTCAAATATTCTATTTTGTAAACTTACTTTTTTTCTATAATAAGTTTAATTTCTATTATAAATAGTATTTTTTTTTTTAATTTTTGTAACAAATTTTAGTTATACATTTTTTGCATTTTCTTTTTTTTGAAATTTTTTATAAATGATGTATGGGCACTTATATGTCTTTTAATCTTTTTTCCATTAGTTTTAAAACAATTCGATTTGTTCCCTGAAATAAAATTAATTTAAAAACAATTCAATTTCCTAGATAAGTTTTTATTTTAAAAAATACATTAATATATAAATAAAAAATCTTTAAAAAATAAGTTGCTTCTTTAAGACCAGTCAAGCTTTGACTTGACTTGAACGTCATAAATCCGACCCGGATCTTCAAAAATCGGATCCTATCGAATCAATCAAACCAAAACCAAGTCTCGTTCTAACTCTGTTCATTTGTTCTTTCCAAAGAAGGGTTTACATTTCTCTGCTTCGATCTTCTCGCTAAGTAAGTTTTCAGCTTTAAATTTTGTTCTTTATGTTGAATTTCATTCTGGGTATCTTTTATTTTACAAACTGAATGTTCATATTTTGTTGGGTCTTTTTCTATAGTTGATATAAGTTTCTTCATTTGATAAACTGTAGAAACTGTTGCCAGTACTTCCAAGATAAGAATTCGGAAACATTTTCTGAAAACACTTNGATGTGGATGGACTATGGAGTAGCTCTGTAGCTCACGGTGTGGAAGACTGGAACTGAAACTATGAAAGTGTGGAGATTTAAGATTTGGAGGCTGAGTCGCGGAGAAGTGTTTGAACTGTGTGTGAAGAGAAATACAGAGGAGATAAATTTATTTTTTGCTTTTATAGTTAGGGTAAAACCGATTTTCGGTTAACCGGTTTGAAATAATTTTCAAACCGAAAGTAGCGGATCCAGAAATTTCTGTTAGGGTGGGCCAAAGTAAAAATTAATTATACATTAATACTTTTGTCCATTAATATTTTTGTTAGGGTAGGGCAAAATATATAAATTATACATATTAATATTTAAAAAAAAAATTGAGAGTAGGCCATGGCCCACCCAAAAAGTGGCTGGATCCGCCCCTACCGAAAACTGAATCGGTTTTTTTGGTTTTTTGAATTTTACAAACGGAACCGGTTTGTAAAAAAACTTAATTTTCGGTTAGGTTTTCGGATTATTTATTCCACCCCTAATTTGAATAAGTGTTTTCATCGATAATCTACTCTCTTCGTGCTTGAATTGGAATGGAAGATATTACAATATATAAAATACATTTTCCATATAATAACCTTCACTGGATTTGATGATTAGGGGTGTTCGAGCCAGTTTATGTATATTTTAACTAATCATTAGGGGTTTTAGAACTATTAATCAAATAAGAACTCCAATGGTTACCTCTGTTAGTAACCGATGAAGGACTCAAACTTATGACATCTTAAGCAATACACCCAAGAGTCTCATCAAAAGACTTAACTACCCAAACAATTGTTATATTTCTCCTTATCCTTTTGAATAGTTTTATGAGTGATTTACCTATAATTTTTTTGATGTCTTTTCTTTTTTCAAATATTCTATTTTGTAAACTTACTTTTTTCTATAATAAGTTTAATTTCTATTATAAATAGTATTTTTTTTTTTAATTTTTGTAACAAATTTTAGTTATACATTTTTTGCATTTTCTTTTTTTTGAAATTTTTTATAAATGATGTATGGGCACTTATATGTCTTTTAATCTTTTTTCCATTAGTTTTAAAACAATTCGATTTGTTCCCTGAAATAAAATTAATTTAAAAACAATTCAATTTCCTAGATAAGTTTTTATTTTAAAAAATACATTAATATATAAATAAAAAATCGTCAAAAAATAAGTTGCTTCTGTAAGACCAGTCAAGCTTTGACTTGACTTGAACGTCATAAATCCGACCCGGATCTTCAAAATTCGGATCCTATCGAATCAATCAAACCAAAACCAAGTCTCGTTCTAACTCTGTTCATTTTTTCTTTCCAAAGAAGGGTTTATATTTCTCTGCTTCGATCTTCTCGCTAAGTAAGTTTTCAGCTTTAAATTTTGTTCTTTATGTTGAATTTCATTCTGGGTATCATTTATTTTACAAACTGAATGTTCAGATTTTGTTGGGTCTTTTTCTATAGTTGATATAAGTTTCTTCATTTGATAAACTGTAGAAACTGTTGCCAGTACTTCCAAGATAAGAATTCGGAAACATTTTCTGAAAACACTTTCTGAAAACACTTTCTTTAGTTGGTGGTCTTAAAACCAAAGTTCAGATTTTTTTTTTTTTTTTTTTTTATGTAACTGAGTTCTTTGAAATTGTGCAAGTAGAAGAAGTAAGGAGCTTATGAGGGTGAAATTAGAAACAAAAATAAAATTTTGAATTAATTTGGCAACATGTTTGTGAGGTTTGAATCTTGTGGGGTTTGGTTTTTATCTTCAAGATTTATCGATTTCGTGCAATGAAGGGATATCTAAGATGTAATGTGTAAGATGGTGGGAAATTTGTCTTAATTGAATTGAAGGATTCTTGTGGCGTTTTTAGAACTTGTAGTTGTAGGGGTTATATTTTTCGTTGCATTCGATTATACTTTGAAATTAGTCTTAGATTTCTTTTTATGGCCTCCAAGACAGATGTAGTTGCTATTTTTTTGGGAAGATGCAACCTTAATGCCGTTGTGTTGCCTTTTCTGTTAGAAAGCTGATTGATTTTCTGATGAAAAGAATAAAACCATAATCAATCAGCTGCCATCAAGAAGATGTGGCATCATATGTGGAGTATAAAAAATTAAAATTTGCTTATGAACTCTTTTAGCTGAAGAGCCTAGTGATCATATTGGATGACATGTTCTAGTATTTGTTAGATTTGGTTGGTGATCTTCTAGACATATATGTTAAAATATTGCATGTTTTAAGCCTATTGCTTGATGTAACAAGCAGGTCTGCAACTAATGGTCAAATCAAGGCAAAGACACTTGACGGCAGCACTTGAAAACAACTCAAATACTGAGTTGTATTTGAATGAAGATGAAGATTGGGTTATAGTTAAAAAGCAAAAAGTCACCATTCTGGTTCCAAGTCTACCTACAGCTAATAAGTCCACTATGCCAACTTTGGGACCAAGTCAACGGCAAGCTTCGCCCAGAAAAGCAATTAACAAACAATCGCAATATTCAACTGATGCATGTTCCAAGAAACCTATAGTTGATGAGCAAGAGAAGTCTGCATCATTGGCTCCAAAAAGAGGTATCCACATTGCCAGAAAAACTCCTAATCTGTATGTTCCAGCCATAGCGAAACCACCATTGGTAGATTCTAGAATGGAACCAGAAAATCCAGTTCACGCTCGTGGCTCTGTCTCACGTTATACACTTGGGGTAATGGACATGTCAAGAACTATTAGGTGCTCAAGAACTTTTCATGGTATCAGTGGTTCACTTGATAGGAGCATGTTGCTGAATCAAAGGCTGAGGGCATTAAATCTTGAGAGGAAACTACAAAAAGCTGGTGGTTTGAGTAGGTGGTTAGCATCGCTAGGACTGGGACAGTTTGTTAGGCTTTTCCAGCGGAAGAGTATCAATAAATTTCAGTTGGTGAATCTGAACATGAAGAAGCTCAAGGATATGGGTGCGGATGCAGTTGGTCCACGGAGAAAGCTTATGCATGCTATTGAATGTGTCTGCCAGCCATATTGTTTTGAGGCCTTGTAAATATTCCAAGCATCTAGAGCAATTGGCAAACCCACAGACAATGCAAGAGCAATTTAATTCTGTTGTAAATGTTCCATCTTGTTTGATTCTGAAGCATAGTCTCAAGTAGTGGACATAATATCTTGCAAATTGGTCCGAAGAGAGTTAAACGCCACGCCTTGCTGCTAGCTTGTATTTGTATTAGACAATCATTTGCCTTTTGTAAATATCAAGTTGGCTGCAAATCATAACTTGCAATCAGGTAGCTGCTGTACCCCTTACACGCTTATTGTTTTCTAATTATCACTTGAAAATCTGGGCAGCGCTTCATTGAGCAAGATGTGTTGGGACTTGCTTCATTATCATCCAGGATATGACAACAATGCAATTGCTATTTTTGACTTACAGTTTTACACCCTGCAGATGCTGCATATTTTTTTCTTGCCTTTTCCCACGTCCTATTTATGTCAAATGTTTGTAACTCACAGTTATCCCTTTCCATCCTGGTATCAAAACCAGTAAATGTAAGCAGATGGGCAGTGCCAATGTAATGTACCGATGATTTTAGAGTTTATTAACACAGATATGAGATGAGTTTGGCACAGCTACTTATTCATTTATCAGTATAAACGAGGGGACTAGCAACGCTTCGGCGTGTAAGCAATCTGTTACCAGACTGCACTTGTTTCATTTAGTACTGGTAAATGGTGTATTTTTTTCATCCTTTTCGTTCTTATACATTTCCTTTATTAGCTTTGCAGTACTACATTCCAGGTTTATATTTGCTGACTGATCATTTGATTCCAGCAATACCAGAAATTGTCAATTTGGTAACTGGTGCTTTGGTTTCTTTAAGGAAATTGTAAGTTTTATGGCAATCTTACTGTAATTTCTTAGTGGGATTCTTAAGAAATTTTAAGGATCAAATAAATTCTGAACGTATGGTAATCTTTCTCATCTCTATTTGTCATATATACTTTTAGTATTATTAGTTGGGACAAATCTGAAGGCATATTTGTTCAATATTTGAGCCAATATATATACATACACACAACCGGCCAATAAAGATATGTTCTCGTCAATACGAGTGAAGTGTGAAAATATGATTATGTTAACATGAGTGGACTACACTTTCTTTCCTATTGGTTGTTTGTATTATGATAATGTATATAATTTGTCTGTGCACAGAGTCATTTCTTTAAGTAAACCAAAATTCAACAATTTTTTTTAAGGTAAACGACTTGTTCGCACCCAAGGTTTGCCTCAAAGACACTTTTTCACAAAAAAAGTTTCAAAATATCAATTTCTCACCTAAAGTTAATATTCCGTTACTACTCAAAGCTGATTCCGGCGACAAAAATTATCTCCGTCACCACCATTTGAATCTTCAATCTCCTCTCTACAAAACTCTTATCACTCTAATACCTAATTTTTCGTTGATTGTCGGCCATTGCAAAGTTGGGGTTTCTTGTTCTTAGTTGATTTTTGGCTGATTCTGACGACAAATATTCAATCCGTCACCACCATTCAATCCACCGCCCTCTACTCTACAAAAACCTTGTTGCCCTGACTCTTGTAAACTTGCTGAAGGTTGGCTGACAAAGTAAACAGTATTTTGGGTATTAACATAATATAAACATTGAGTGGAAAAGTGATATTTTGAAACTTTTTGGGTGGAAAGTGTTATTAAGGCAAACCTTGAGCCAAAAAAAATTGTATACTCAATTCTTTATATTGAAAACAGCAGGTGTGTTTGTTTTATTATTTTAAGTAGTATTTTTAAAAAATTATTGGTAGGTAGAGTTTGGTGATTATTACGAGGTAGAATTTAAAATTAACAAAAAACCCCTAAGTTTGCTAATTTAACTAAACACCCAACATATAATTTTTTTGTAAAATGACAAATACACCCCCAACCACACACAATTGCCAGATTCTGGCTACCACTGTTGGAATCTAGCATTACGACACACAACCGACTGGATTTGGCCGGTAGTGCGTCGAGATAGCCTTTTCTAGCTAGATCCACTGTGGATCTGGTCGGAAAAGACCAGATCTGGTAGTGTTTGGTCGTCAATGACAGCCAAAGATATGGCCGTCGTTGAAGACCAGCTTTTCCGGCCATATCTACGGTGGATCTGGCCAGTAAATGATAGATCAACGTACTATCGGCCAGATCCAGCCGGTAATGAGCCATTATACCAGATTCCGGCCACCTTCCAGCGGTGGTGGCTAGAATCTAGCAAATGTGGGTAGGTAAGGGTGTTTTTGTCAGTTTTTAAACTTTTTTTGTGTGTGTTTAGTTAAATTAATAAACTTAGGGGGTTTAAAAATAGTTGAATAAAATATAATAGTATTTTCATAATAGAGAAACAAACGTGTAGTTTGAAAATCGTATTAATAAGATATGGAAAAATATTAAACCAAACAGACGCGTTTGTTTAGTTATTTTGAGTAGTATTTTTGAAATATTATTGTAAAATTGAGTTGGTTATTATATCGAGAATAGAATTTGAAAAAAAATATGTTTGGTAGAGTATTTAGTTGGGTTATTATTACAAGAATATGATTTGATGTTTAATAAAGTATTTAGGATAGTATATTAGAGTTGAATAAATTGTAGAAAAATTGTTTGGTATATTTTTTTATAAAGGATTTATTGATAGAATTCTTTGTTGCTTTTTGTTAAATTAATTTATTATTGTAGCTTAAAAACTTATCAATTAACATTTTAATATTATTAGATATTTAATTGTTAATTTCGCAATCACTAACTTAAAGACAAATTTGGAACTATTAAGTTCAAGTATTAATACATCATTTAAAAACACCGCATTAATACATCTCTGACGAAGCTGTTGATTGTCAACCTTTAGAATCGTTTGTATAGCTATACTCCATTAACAACTACAACATTGGTCATATGTTCTTCCCACATTTTAGTCGTTATGTTATCCCGCACATGCGCCATGTCGTCAATATTATATTGCTGCGGTTGACTCGATCCCTCCCCATTTCCTTCATATGCTGCCTTGCTTTGGTCATGCAAATATACTTCCTCAGTAGACTGCACGAAGATTTCATCATTCATATTGTACCTTCTGATAAAATTATGAAGTATACAACATGCCATAACAATCCAACTTGTTTCTCCAACAGGTAATTATTCATTCCATCGAGAACACAAAATCTTTTCTTTAGAACACCAAAGGTTCTCTCAACAACATTGCGGAGTGATGCATGTCTGTAGTTAAACAACACCTATAGATCATTTCGGTTACGACGACGATCATGTAGATGGTAAGGAACTCATCTATGAGGGGCAAGGAACCCACCCTCTATTTGCATAACCCGCATCAACCAAATAGTATTTACCTGTAATCAACTCACACATGTTATTTGATATTTCAATCCAAAAAACCCGGAGCAAATACGATATAATACGTAAAGAAGTTAGTTGCACCTGGTGGAGGATGTGGGAATCTAGAATTAGGATCATCAAGAACCGAATTTAAAACTTTTGAGTCATGGGCGGATCCTTCCCAACCAATGACGACATAAGTGAACATCATCCTGAAGTCACATACAACCAAGACATTTTGCAACAATGTTCCTTTACGATTTCGAAAGACATCGGCCAACTCAACTAGAACCCAAGCATCAACATATGTGCTATCAATTGCCTTATACAGTCCTGTGAACAAAAGATAACATTCAATAATATCAACCGACTGTCAACATAAATAACACAATGAATTGAAGTACCTACAAAGTACCTTAAAGAATGGGTTATATTTTTTGTTGGTCGATATTTCCTCTGGAACTTCACTGAAGTCCAATGCCTTGATAAACTTTGTCTGCAACCCACATATCGCGTTGCAAACTTTGCTCACATATCTAGAGATTGTCTCACCCGAATGTTGAAAATCCTCCATAATAGTACTCTATGTCTTGTTTTTTTCCAATGATTGTAAAAAATATCATAACATGTTCTTCAATACTCATCCTCTTGGAGTCTCGAAAGCTGCCTTGTTGTGCCAAAATGTAACATAAGTATCTAAAACATTGTTTATCCATGCGACACTTTGCAAATATTCTGTCAGGATGGCCATTAAGAACTCCCAACATATTATTGTGACCAGTTAATGTGGATGTATGTCGTAATCATTGTCCATGTGTTCCGAAGTCTGTTTCCAATGCGGCAATTGCGCAAAATGCAACCGCAACATCTACCAGAATTTCCCTTTCTTCATCAGCATCATTTCGGTTACAAGCTCTACGCCTAGCGACATCATCTAAAGCTGTACATTTGTAAAACACTGATCATCAATTCATATTGTTGTGGTACTTAGAAAAATATGACATTCAATATTTAATTGTACTTCCAATCTCAAACTTATATGAAACATGTTCTCACATTAAAACAGTAGCACATTGTATAAGTACCTACAATAGCAAACATAATTACGTTGAAACTAAATCAAGATGCTGCAAAAAATAAACAACCGTATAAGGGATCAGTGCCCACTGGTTAGTACAAATTGTGGGACTACATGCAGGACAAACAGGCTCATCCTAATCAATTTGAAAACCTAGTATAAACCAAATTTAACCTATGCTCGGGTGGCAGTTGTACAAATACCTCCCTAAACCCTGGATGTATTCGATAACTTTGATGTAAATATTTGTATGAACTTGCATAGACGTCAAAATGTCCAGACAATTGGACATGGAAAATGGATCAGATGGAGCACTGGTGTTCTCTTCGACCTCCTCATCTTCACTGTGATTTGCAGCCTCGGATCCCCTACTCCTATCCACAAGTACGTCTGTCAGTCTGTCAATCACATCCACAAGTTCTTGTCCCTGGCTGGATTTCTTCTTCCTCCTCCTAGGACTTCCATGACCAGAGATGTTTGACCGTTTTTCTCCTATTGTTCTATTCGGATCAAGTTTGAACTCATTCTCATCATTGTCAGCCAGTCCATGTTCAAATGAATTGTAGTCGGAATCCACTAGTTGGGACGTTGATGTGTACGCGAATCTTCCTGTGGCACTTTGCTTTTCAAAAATGTCCTCATATAACTCCTTATACGGAAGTCCCTTATGGAAGAACTGCGATGCCTATTTGTTATGCTGGTAATGAAAACACACGTACATTAATATGTGTTTGTCAGGAAAAAAGGCGTAAAACATATGATGTCATAGATTAATATGAATTTAAAATATGAAAAGTTACCTTGACATATTCTATCCAAACCTCTAAGGTACATGTTGGGGTTTGGTTCTGATGATCCTAACCGAAACCTGTGTGTTGAATAAGTTTACGCCAAGCATTATATGTATTTTTCAATCGGAAGAACTTAAAAGTTAAATCTCTTACGCCGCCCAGCCAATGGTTCCAAATCAGCCAACATATTCTGGTAATCTGTCGCTTTAATTACAGTACCATAGGCATTTTTCGCATGCTCGAACAACATAATCAGAAATTTGTGGGTCATCTTATCGGACTAGCTAACGTTATCACTCATCTAACGATGGT